AGACATTTTGATATTTCAGGCGGTCCATAATCATATATCATAGTAATGAAACTGAAACGAGAAATTGAAAATGATATTTCCCAGTATATTACTTATTATAAAAATAAGAAAGTAAAAAAATAAAAAAAATAAAAAAAAATAACATGATCCATTTCAGCTATACAAACAAAGAAAAGAAAGACATGATGACTATTAATTTAATGTCCACTATCAATTCACAGTTTCACCTTCACGTATATACAGAAACAGAATGCAAGTATGAGCTTTATGTATACCGATTTGAAGTATGCTGATCTAGTAATTTAACGAAATTTGCATATTTCCCTTAAAAAATACATACCCATTTGAACCAACAACAACACAAATCTATACATATACCGACATTAAATTTGCCCATACTGGAATATGGAGATCTGTTGATGGCTAAGAACCGTCGGAATTGCAGACAAGAAGACGACTTATCTTTCTGGCTGCAATCACTGCGCCTTTACAGATACTTGTAAATATCTTCCTTTTGATGCTTCCTCTAACTGGTGGGAGTCGTACATTAACATTATCACTCTCTATCATTTTATTCTTCATATCTGTTTAACTTAATTAACTTGTAGCTTTTAGCAGGAGTTCAATGTGTGTGTGTATATATATACTGCGTAAAGAGGAAGAGTGTAAGAAACTGTAAACTAACGACAAGTTTAGATTATATTGTATTAACTGTTATTATAGACATAGTGACTTGTTTTGTACTTTCGTTTGTTGTTACAGTTTTAACCGGTGTCCGATTAATGTCGCACGTCGCAATCATCACGCGTAAAACTGTAGATACACGTAAAACTCTCAAGTCACGTTTGGTTTAATTTGCTTTATTTTATTTTATTTTTTTTCCAGAACTAGAAGGTTTAATTCTCTTTAACCCATAGAATATAAAATTTTTTTTTTTCTCTCCAGCGAGTATTTGTTTTTAGGATCAAACTTGTATTTTCACCGTTGTAAAAATTGAGGTTGCTTCTTTTATCGACCAACACCTTATTGGTTTGAGTTAACATGGTTTATTAAATTGAAAAAAAAATAATGAAATAATACTCAACTGAAGTTTTTTATTTTCTTGTTTGTTAAATATGAATTTTTGTTTTTTCATGTTTGAATTCTTAAATTTAAGTAGAAATATATAAATTTTCATTTCCAAAAAGTATTTATTTGTTTATTTTTATTCAACAATAATTTTGGGATTAATGATAATGGAACTGTCTCTAATAGAATTTTAAAAGTTGCAAATTTAACTTTCAATTGAACTAAATTAAAAAACAAACGTATAAAAAGTTTTCAAGTATATAGTATAATTATTTCACTTGGAATCCTTAACTTTGCAAATAAAATTTATTTGAAAATATAATTTATTTTTCTAATGCAATCCGCTATCGATCTAATCAATGAGAGGTTAATTATTTATATTGACGTTAAGGAATCATTTCTAAAAGTTAAGTTTAAATACAATAGATGATATTATATTTAATAAATTATAAAATGATAAACATATTTTATTTTGCCAAGTTGGAAAAACCCAAATGTTTCTTTCTTTCTCTTTTTCTGCCAAGTTGGAGAAAGTGGGTTAATATAGTACGTAGTCAGTGGTCAAATAGAAAAAGATTAAATTAATTAATTAATTAATTAATTAACGTTTACACAAGTTGATGGCAGTGAGTTGGCAAATATAGAGCCACTATTCGATTCGTAGCCGGCGGGAGGGAATTTCTATAAATATTTGTATGTAATTTATACTCAATCAAGGGCCAAAATTTACTGTCTTGTAGTCTGAAAGTGATGTAATTAATTTTATTAAAATGGCAGACAAAAATGATTAAAATATCAAAAGATGCATAAAAAAAAAACCATGAATTTAAAATTGTAAATTTTTAGCATAGAAATTTTCACCTGCATACATAAGATCAAATTCTGTAATTTGGACAGGTAATACATATATCCTATATTAAATTGGTAAGACTCGTAAAGTTTTATTTCGTAGGTGAAATTGGAAAAACTCCAAGAGGTTTTTTATCCTAAAATTTTTTTTTAAGTGATGGCGCTTAACCTCGGATTTCTTCCAATTCTCCTGACCATTTTACTAAAAGACGCCCATGATGATTAATTTTCTCATTTTCGATTTATGATTTAATTTATTTCTATGTCCTGCATTCCACTGCCTTAACTAGTCTGTCATCCTAAAAGCTAGTCGGGAGTTTTGCTCTATCTGCCCTTTTAGAATCACTTTACCGGGTTGGAATATCACAAGATATGAGTTCACTGCGTCACAATCACAAATTTTGGTTTTAAATTTACTTTTTCCTAAATCTTAATTAGCAACCTAATTGTGGTTTTAAATACTTCAAAGTGTAAGTCAAGTCAAGTCGATAAAATGCACTATGTACTTCAGCTCCAACTTATCATAAATCTATGAATTGCGTTTCATCACATTAGTATTTGTATTAAAATTAAGTATATGTTTTTAATTGATTCTGTTTGGCTTAATTAGAGCAGTTTTGCTTAACTAGATCCAAAAATTGGGTAATTAATTCATTTTTAATTCCAAATTATTAGTTAAATAAGTTAGAAAACGTTCAATTTGATTACCACATTTAATTTGAACTTATAAGGAGCTATTGAGCCGTCTATGGTAAGTTAAAGGGGGAGATAATGGAGCTCCTGATTGGCTTGCTAATTTTGCCATCTCCTTCTATGGGTACTCATTCGTTCATGGAAGCTCTTATGTAGTCTACAAAATTTTATTTTTAGATATTGAGGGGTTTTGCTTTCTTCAAAAAATTAGTAATTTAGTGGTTGTTGCGAATTAATTCTACACGCAGGATCGAATCATATATTAAGGAGAACTTTAACGTAATTATTTTTTTATCCGAAAAATATTAATTTTTTGTTTAACCGTAAAAAGAGAGGTGGTACAATTCGCTTTCTAACTACTTAAAAAGAGAGGTGATATTATTATGAAAAGAAATATGTAGTAATTTAATCTTTCTTTTGGATACTATGCTTTCAATAATAATGGAATTAAAGACGGCAAATGGTGGCTCCTACCCCCTAGGTCAATTTTTTGTAGAGTAATATATTTTTCTCTCTTAACTTCTAAAAATTTATTTTGCTTCCTAAATTTAGAATCATTGTTCACTCATGTATATTTATTTAAAAAGGTAAAAGGCAAGTTCTATAAAATGGTTGAGACCAGCAATGTTATATGGAACCCAATTCAATATGTTCAGAAGATGAATATTATAGAGATATGAATGCTGAGATGGATTTGTAGTCATATAAGATTGGACAAAATTAAGAATATGATCACATTAGACAAAAAGTGCAAATAGCAGAAATTGAAAATAAAATGAAAGAATGACACTTAGATGGTAAATGCATATATTAAATAGACGCCACATTGTCTCGGTTCATAAATGTGATACTTTGATAGTAGAGAATACTAAAAATGGAAGAGGTTCGATCTAGAACTGTTTAAAGGGAAGCCTCGAAAGGATATATAGTTTTGGGATATTAGTGAAGATTTAGTTATAAAAAAAAATAAAATGAAGACAAGTTCTTGTAGCAGATCCTACTTAATTGTCGTTGCCAATTTTTCACTTTGTTCTATTTATTAATATATGAAATGATTTTAAATTTCCTTTCAAAAATTTTCCAACTTATAATTTACTTTAAATTACTATTAATTTGATTAGGACAGAAATTGAAAATAAAATATTCATATAACTTACCTAACTAATTTGAAATTAAGATTTAATTATAATAGTTGTTATTATATATACCCGAAAACGAGCGGGTTAAGCCATCCAATTTAAACTATATTAGAGTTGTAATTCACTCAAATCCAGTAAAATATCAATGTTGAAATTCAAGCTCGAACGGATCAAAATCAAATTACATAAATTTCTTTGGGTTCTGTAAAAAATAAAAATTCAAAGAATATAAATGTCAAAATTTTAAAAATCAGAGGTTAAGAAATTATGAGCCTTGATTACACTAATGCTGGCCGGCAAAATCAACAAAAAAAAAAAAACATCAGACCAAAGTTTGATTACGGGGAGAGTTCCGTACAGAGAGAGATGTTTTGTATACATTTTATAGCAGCCAACAGGAAAAATACATAACACTACTGCTTCTTCAATTAAATTTAATTAATTGCATTATATGCGAAATTTTAACCTAACATTGCTGGCATCCACAATACAATTATATATATATATATATATATATATATAAGTAAAGTCCAACTGGCCAGTGAATAATTTGTTTCTGTATTTATAAATTTGTTATTTTACTCCAGGAATGAACGAACAGTCCTTATCTACAATGAAGGTTTGAGACATAATGTTACAAGAATTTCAATTTTGTAGAAAGGTGTTCTATTAATAAACTCAATAATTGGTAATTCCATTGATGGATTGCTCAGTTTTTATTTTTCCTTCACATTTCAAATGATAATAAAATCAAATATCTCGCGCACAGACACATGACTAGTTATTTATTATTAAAGAAACAACAAAATAGATTCAAGTTGAATCATGCTAGATTCAAGTTGAATCATGCTAAGGCAATATACTATTATTGAGCTCAAACTCTGTTTTAATAGAAAGCTCGATCAATACTAAAAACTTGTGTCATAAATATAGCTCATTCCTACTTTGAGAATTACTGAAACTTTTTCTGGACAGAAGGGAAAAACTGCTATAAGCAGGACCTTTGAGTTTTTAGTCATTCATCAGTAAAGTTAAATGTTTTGCACAGTAGCAACAGTTTTTAAGTAATTTTCCTCAAAACGCTCCTTTTACCGTTTAGTTTTTAACATTTTATAAAAAATTACCACTCAATCAGCTAAACCCTGTTAAAACAACTAACAGCTATAAAAACAATTAATTTTGTCAAAGATGCGTAAGTTGATGGGATCATTCTATAAGAGAGAGAGAGAGAAAGAGAGAGAGAGAGAGAGAGAGAGAGAATTATAAGACTTGAATGGGGAGGAAGTGTTTTCAATTACAAAGCGACAAAAACATGAGCCATTGATAAACAAATGGGAACAAATGTTTAGTTGCACAAGAATTGGGAATCAATATTTTCCAATAAAAACAAATGTGTTATTTGCAAAAGAATCAAACAATCCTTGTTTTAATGCAACTAGAACTTCGCCTTTTGTGTCTTACCAATGAGCATTCTGGTGGTTGGTTCTGTTATATATGCAGAGCAGAGCAGCTTCCTTGACTTTGGCCATGAAAATTAGCCATTGCAATTATATGCAAGCTTAGCACTTCAAAGAAGGAAGGCAAAAAGGGCTTGAAAAATGGATTTTGGTCCTTTCCACTTCTTGGAAGCAGTGGAACCATCTTTACTTGCTGTTAAAAAGGCTTGAAAATGATCTCCCCGTCTCCCCTGATGGATCAATTTATAAGTTATAAATACAAATGATACTAGACTTTAGATCATCTAGTGAAAAAAAATATGACAACTTCAAAGGGATTTTTGCTTAGTAAAACAAAATCATTGTAGCATTAGCATTTTCCATTGTTGATCAGTACAAGGTCATTGATCATTGATACAAAGGACCTTCTGTATAGCTAAATGATTTACAGCTTTGACCAATGACCTTTCGCCCAATCTAGAATTTTAAGGTTGCTAACTGAGTTGGGGCCAAACTATTAGCCATATGGGTAGGATTTTACCTGCGCAGCGTCCTTGAGCGGTCCCCAACACTCTAGGCGATTGTACTTAGGTGAGCTAGAATGGAAATATACCCAAACCAAAGCATCCATCAGCCCAGGATTCTCTCTGAAAATTACTGAATCTCCATGTGATATGGCTTCAAGTACCTGTCACTCTAACCAAGATTATTAATGCATCCATTACAATTATGCACAGATTAAGGATGTGTCATAATCACTCTGTAGAATCCCTCTTGCAAGAAAAATTAATGGTACATTGCAAAGAGAACACTTACCAAAGGCATTTCCTTGGAGAATATATGGTATCTCAACTCAGCAGCAAGGTCTAGTTTAAGATTTGGACCACTCACATAGCAATGAATATGCAAACCCAATTGCCCCTCTAGTTTCTTCCATTCAGCAACCACATCATCCTTGCTATACCACCCTCGTAACTGCCGCGATTTAGGACCCAATTATCAGTGTAATGCAAATTTGTTAAATACACAAATTCAACAATTCAAGAAAATGTAAGTCGCAGGAAAATGCATACCTGATCAAGGTTAATCACATTGGAGATAGTTAATGTTAGGTTTGCTGTGAAGTCGCAATGAGATAGTATGTAAGTTCTAGGAATAATTCCAGAATATTTGTTCATCTGTTCTCCCATTAAAACAACTTCTAGCTTTGAAGCTTCAAATCTTGCTGGAGGAACCAACTGCCTAACTGCCTAAGGACACCCAAATACACAATCTGTCACTTCAATTTATTCTAATGGATAATCTTAATCTTTATGCTGGCTTGCAAATTGAGATGCTAAAATGACTAAAAACGACACAAAGATTTTTCTAGTGACATAGAATTAGAGGAAGGTAAAAGATTAAACCATAAAATTGACAAATGTACCTTTAATCTTTATATAAAAAATTGCTTGTCAATCAACTAAATAAAGGAAAATGCAACTACATATACATTAATCAATTACACATAAAAAGGAAAAGAAAATAGAGAGTACGGAATTACCTGAGAAAGAAGAGTGTTGAATGAAGCTCTAGAGTTGGTAATGCAAGAAAGAACAATGGGTTTGGATCTTTTGGAACTGGTTGAGTTGTTGATGGGTAAATCCCTGTTTGGTGATGGTGAAAAAGCATAATAAGCAGATTGACAGGCCATGAGACATGCATAACAAGTAATTCTTGCTTTCCTTCATCTTTCAGTCTTCATCATCAACCAATCACTCTTTCTCTCCCAAAAGGTTGAAAGAAAGAGAGTCAGTGATGGATATGTGTGGGGAATTGAGGTTCATAGCTCAATTCTTGTGGACTTGGATTCCTCTGTACCCCACAACCCAAAAATCTTTTTCAAGCCATTCGGTCCACATATTTCTGTTTTTTCTCTGTGTTTTCTCTATGTTTTTCCTTCCTTTTTTTTTTTATTTGTTATTTGAAATTTTTCATTTCTATTTTAGTGAATTGGCATTAATAAAGGAAACAGAATTTAAAAAAATAATACAATGGAATTCTGAGTTGGTTAGAAAATTGCAGGTTGTGACACGTCATCATCACAGATTGATTTTGATAAGCTGCGGATAACGTTGATGTGGCATCCTTTGGGCCTACACCCAATTCCCAATTCCTTGATCAAATTCAAATCCAAGACTCATCAATTGAGCCTACAATTACCATTTTACAAAAAGTGCAACTTTTCAGTAAATTTTGAAAACTAAATTTTCATTAGAATAATTAATTTTTTTTAAATTATTAAGTTTAATTGAATTTTATATACGAAGCTGGTTAGACAATTTTTTTTTTTTAGTACATAAGAGTGTTTTAAACCCAGATAAATACACTATTATTGGATACTAAATAGCTTCAATAATATTAGCAATTAAAAAATGCTTAATAAATAATAATATTTTTTAAAGAAAAAAAAATGTACATGACTAGTTATGTTGAAAAGTGTTCAAAAAAGCCAAATTGTCCGTTTCTGTTACAAATTCAATTTGAATGGGCCTAAGAACAAAAAATGGATATCCAATAAGGAAATTGCATCTGATGACCCATTAGGCAAGAAAGCAAGCGACGAGACAAAAACATTACAGAAGCTGGCCCAAAGGAACATTGGGGCATGATATGGCCCAGTAAGCTTAACCCGTGGCATAACCAACGGAAATAATATTACATAATATTACAGTATATGATTTCACATGTTTCAATTAAATTAAACCGATTCAATTTGATTTGATTTTTAATAAAAATGATCAATTTAGAAATTGAAATTTAATAAGTGTATAATTATAATAATATCCATCTATAATATGTACATTTATATGCTAAAAAATATATAAGAATAAGATTACAGTTTTAAAATTTTAACTTTCAAAAGAAGTAAAAATATAGAAATTTTTTCTCCCCTCAAAGTATAGATTATTGATAAGTGTATAATATTATTTATTAAAAAGTTAATATCAAAATATCTGGTACTATTTTTTAGGTGAGATTTTTTATTTTTTATTTTAAATTTTTTGAATAAAGATTTTATTTAATTGATTTATTTTTGTCTAAAAATATTCAATAATTTGAAGGAATATGAATTTTACATGATTATTAAAATTATAATGTATAATAATTATAAAGAAATATACAATATACATATTACATGAATATTTAATCTTACAAATAATGTTATGTTAGTTTTGTACAATTCATTTCAAAACGTCACTAGATTTAATAGAATTTAATTTTAATTATAATAAATTCTGCATCTTAATGAAATTAAAAAGTCAAATATGGAATTCAATCCATAAAATTTTGGCTCGTGAAACTTAACTGAAAAAACTGAGAGTGTAAGTAATTATTCAGAGGAAACGTAAACATTGGATTACAAATAATATTTTATTATAATAAAATTTTCTTAAAAAACTCTGGCGATTGATAATGGCATGATATGGCATCCACGTCTGCCCAAAACGTGTGGAGCAGACGGCACGATCATTTGTGATGAAATGATTCCGTTCCTTTTCGGGACTACCAATAAGTCTCATTCATTGATACCGAGTGAGGGTGAGGGATCCAATCTCTCTCTCTCTCTCTCTCTCTCTCTCTCTCTCTATATATATATATATATAATCCTGAATAAAAATAAATAAATTTAGAAGGCTGAGTTGTCATTTCTTTTTTTCAACTTTTCTATTTTTTTTATAAATTTTCTGATTTGTTCATCACTTTTTATAGCTTTTCTTATTCATTAATCACTTTTAAATTTATATTTTCCTTTTTTGCATCATGAACTTTTCTCATCGGCTAAATATAAAAACGACAATTTAGAAAACGTTCGTGGAGCCAATTTTTTTGTCCAACTCTGCTATTTTCGACAAGTCTAGCACATCAGGTTCATTTCAAAAAGCAGATGGAACTTTGATTTATCTTTTCTTTTTTATCGCCAATCCTCCTCTCATTGACACTAGGTTTTTTTTATTATTATTATTAATTTTTTGTGATTATCATGTGTGGATAATTGGAGAAATAATCTGTCCAAATTTGCTATCTTCGACGAGTTTAGCACATCAGGTCCATTTCAAAAAGGAGATGGAACCTTGATTTATATTTTCCTTTTTATTGCGATTCTCCTCTCATTGACACTAGATTTTTTTTTTTATTAATTATATGTGATTATCAGGCATGGATAATTGGAGAAATAATAAAATGAGATTTGATATGCAAATTAGTATTTCTAGCAAAATAAGCCCATCAAATCACATTGATGATGAATCTTCATAGCCATCAGCTTGTTGTTTACAAGCGCGAGATCATGTGGCGGCTATTTGCCTCTAACACACATTGTATCCAGGATGCAAGGCCTTGGTACCGAGCTTGGTATATAGTATCTTGTAAATTAATTCACTTTTATTTTGGTTATGGTTTTGTTTGTTTTATCTGGGGATACTGGATGTTATTTTATGTTGGTTTTGTAAAATATAAACTGAAAGTTTTTTAGGTAGACTTTTGCCATTTTAGATCACATAAAACATATTTGATTCTGGTTCTAAATGACCTATGGAATGATACATGCATAATAAGTATGGATGAATATTTAATAGTCACAACATTGATTTTTATTTTCGGTAGTGGATTTTCTATTCCTCGGAGCATAAAACCTGATTCTTGCTGGAGTGAGTCACTGACCTTGCACTATGAGAAAGTTTTTGAATTATGGGAATTTTCCAGCAATTTTGTTCCATTGAAGATGATTTGGGGAAGAATAGAGCCTTGCTTCTGTCCAAAAATTGCAAGAGTTGAACAACTCTGTTGTGATTTCTAATTGAACAACTGAATTGACTAACGAATGATTATATGCTTTTCAGGTGATATTTCTTTTATTTACTGTTCCAAAAATTTGCAAGAGCTTTGAACAACTCTGTTGTGATTTCCTAATTTGAACAACTGAATTTGGACTAACGAGAATATTATATGCTTTTCAGGTGCATATTTCTTTTTATTTTGGATAGTAAATCATTTTTCTATTTATTTATTTATGATTTATTTATTTCAAAATATTTTAATCTTCCAAAAACGGAGTACTTAGAACTACTTTACCATTCCATAACATATATGGTTTATATTGTAATTTGAAAATTCTTTCATTTTTTCCATCTAGCTCAGGTATTACCCATGATGGAATAGATAGAGATCCTATCCATAAAGGTAAACCCTTTTTCAATTTAGATTCTTATTGGCCATTTAAACCCTTTTCAATTAGATTCTTTTGGCCATTTAAGTCTATTTATTTTTTCCTTTTGTGTTTGTTTCATTGATGTCCTTGGCTTATTTTGTACTTTGAGATGAAAACTCAAAAATTATAAAATCTAAAAATTAATGTGTTTTTAAGTATTCCTTATCATAGATTCTTACCAAATAAAAATGTTTACATGAGAAAATTCGTTGTATGATAGTTCTTTATATAACGATGGAAGTAGTAAGATATGCTAAAAGAAATCAATTGTTGCTCTTATACATAGCTTTGTGTTTCTTTTTGTAATCAATTTTGCCGCTTCTTCTTCTACTTTATTATTATAAGTTTTTTCTATTTGCATAGCTTTTGGATTTGATCTAGAATCTATGGTTAGATTGTGGTAGAGGAGTAGTTTGATTTTTGTGGAGTTATTATGGTTTTTGAACTCATCATAAGGTGTGCGACGTCCACTGTCTATATTACTTTAATTTTGACAATCTGACCTTTTTTTAAGAAATTGAATTTATAAAGCAACAATTCAACTGCTAAATTCTAGAACAAATTAGTCACAAAAATTAGTCACAAAAGAAACTAGAAGAATTCAGGAATAAAACAAGTGGAAGATATTACTACTAAATATAAAGTTTGTTTCAAAGGCTCATTTTATTCAGTTAAGGTCAATAATAAAGTTAAAAAGGAGAGGATTTTCGACTGAATTTGGTTCCTTAATTAACGAAACCTTTTAAGTTCTTTACATAACATATATACTATCTAAGAACTATCAATTAATACACTTGAAATTTTCATAAACTTATGAGATACTCAAAAAAATATTCTAGAAATTAAGAAATGATATAAATTGAATATTGGCTTTCGAGTTAAGAGAGCTCAATAGCCACACTCAAGACCCTACCATTCAATTTTGTATTCTTTTAGTTGTGGTCTCTATTATATTTCCATGGGCTGTGTCTATATTGGCTGTGTTATAATTAGGAATTCCAAGTGTTTGTAAATTTGTCAAATTTAATAGTTCAATTGCTTGGAAAGATTTGGAATAAGATATTTTAGAGCTAGATCTTTATCAAATTTCTTGTGCTCAAGAATAATTGTATCCGTAACTTGAAAAAAGAAATAACTTTGTAGAGTAAGGTATGATATTCCCCCTCAGAGAACTTCAACTCCCCTTCTTTCGGTAGATAATTGGCTACTTCTTTCTAGTTCGATCCGTATAGTATAGGGCAGTGGATTGGGTATCGAAAGGAATTTTCCACGCTTCGAATAGAAAAAAAAATACCACAACGAACCGGACCCGAAAATCAAATTGATCTCAAAAACTACACGAATAATCTGAAAACCAAATGAAAATCCTGCAAACCGAGTAAAATCGAGCCCAATCATTGAATTAGACCAAACCGGTTTGAATCAACCGGAATGGTATAGAAACTCCAAATTTTCCTTTCTTTCTTTTTCTTTCTTTTCTTTTTTTTTCCTTTCTTTTCTTTTTCTTTTCTTCCCCTTCTTCGTTCCACCGCCGACCTCACCCTCCCCCTCTCCTCCTCTCGTTTTTTTTTCCGACGACCAGAGACTCGTGCCGCGCCTACTCGCCGCATCAGCTCCGGCGTCTCCTTCCCTCTCTCCGTTCCATTCCAGTGAGAGCAAAAGTCGCAGGAAGAG